TGCTGGGAGCAGCATCATGCCCTGAAAATAATATCAGTTCATGTGTTCACTAAGGGACCGCAGTGTAACAGAGTCCTGGAACGGCTTGTAGGATTAGACTGTAATAGCATGAGTTAGGAAGTGCACAGACACACACGTTCTCATTCAGTGAGGAGCTTAAAAACAACACTTGATTTCCGCATGTATATAGGCCACAGACACGAGACTGTTGATTGCGTCCCCACATTTCAAATGCTACTTGGCAGATCATTACTTAGCATAAAACTGTGCAGTGAACAGATCTGTGTTGTTCCAAAACCCATCTTTTTATCCACCTATTTTATTATTTGATTAAGCATACCATGGTTCGAAGTGACCCCCAAATTCAGAGCTGTCAAGTCGGTCTAACAGGCTGCCCGCTCCTCTGGCTGACCCTGGCCCGCATCCCCACATCAAACGCTCTGGGAAGAAGCCTTCACGGTTGGAACCCTCCTTACCTCCATCTCTGTAGGACACCTGCTTCGGTCATCAGGCCTGTCTAGCACTATGCCGGGTGGATTTGCTGAGCTCTGATGGGGTTTCCTAATTCTCAGGCACCATCCAATTCTGCCAGCACACTGGCCCTGTCAATTTTTGCAGTCTCCCACCCACCCCCGTCTGTGCCTAGAATTATGTGTCTCTTCACATCCTGGTAGGTGAAGGCAGGGAGTCCTGTCTTCTGACTGAAAAGAAACTAAGCTGACCTGATAGCTTCAATTCACTAACTTTACAGAAGATCTGAAGGAATCTAAAGAAACTTAAGCTGCCCCAATATCGAAATAGTTATTTAGCTTTGGAAAAGAGAATTTATTTGGAAGTCAGGTCTTTAAGCTCATATTCCTTGTCTTGTTATGATTTGAAACCCACAGTGTTTTCATCTATTTATGGATTCACTAACATAGGGGCAGAACAGAAGAGCATCTGAGAAGATGAATTCTGAAGTCAGATTGCCCAGATTCAAACCCACCTGCTGTGTATTCATTTGTGGACCAGGACCATGTCATTTAAGTTTTGTGTTCCTTCATTTCCTTTGTGAAATGGGCATAATAGCAGCACCTTCTTCACAGAGGTGCAAATGCACATGCATCTCTAATATAAATTATTACTGTTGTTATTAATAAGGACTAAAGGGTTTGAAGTCAGGAGAAGGATGGGGCACCTGGGTGGCTCGGTTGGTTGGGCGTCCGACTTCGGCTCAGGTCATCATCTCACAGTGCATGGGTTCGAGCCCTGCTTCGGGCTCTGTGCTGACAACTCAGAGCCTGCAGCCTGCTTCAGATTCTATATCTCCCTCTCTCTCTGACCCTCCCCTGCTCGCATTGTCTCTGTCTCTCAGAAATAAATAAAACATTAGAAAAAAATTTTTTAAAAAAAGGAGAAGGGTTAGATGCCAAGGCTTGTGCAAAGGTAGATCGTGCAGGCCCTGTTAAGTTCATGTATATGGTATTAAAAATCCTAACTTCAAGATGTACTCTCTTGGCGACTTTCAAATACATAACACTGCTTTTAACTATTGTCTCCATGGTGTACATTACATCTTCCGTGTGCACTGAGAAGGCTTTATGTTGTTAATTACAGATGTTTCTACTACACTATGGTATGTGAATTTCTAAAAAGCTGTGCATTCTGTAGAATTTATATTAAAACAGCAGGAATCATGGGAAGAAATAGGATTCTGTGCAAATCCCCAAAACTTTTGAAGTCACCCCTAGCAATCATTATCGTAAGGGAAATATTAGCATAAAGGAACTACTAGTAAGTAAATATTACTTTAAATACTAAATTCTATTCTAAGGAGAAAGAAGTTTAAGGGACATAAAAGTGGAAGAACAAAACCTGTGTCCAAACAGAGTCAGAGGAAAGACAATGAACGTGAGGAAAATGGGGTTATTAGTCCATACTGTTCTCCTCCATAGCTCCAGTTAACTTCAGCCTTATTACAGTATTTTGTGCTTGTGTTTAGCTGTTACTTTTTTTTCTGATATAAATCTTGAATGTGCTGAGGAATTAGCGTATGAAACCCCATGTTTTTCATGTTATCATCACATTCTTCTTAACTAATCATTTATAAGCCAATCTCCTCATGTTACAGACACATATGCTAGTGTAGCAGTAGGGGATGATATAGATAGATTAGAAGTTCTAAAGGATCACTCTAAAGGGGATCGACACTCAGATTGTGGATGCTTTGACTCCAAAGGGGAAAGGGTAGCTGGAACCAGACTGGTTGCCATGAGGATGAATATACCCAGGTGCCCAACGTCAAAAATCCCTAATATAAAAACAAAACGGAAAAACCAATGTTAAAGAAATAACCTTAGGTATCAATGCTCTCTAACTCTTTATTTTGATACCGTACTTCCCCTAAAACGTGGAGGAGAAAAATTTCATGGAACAGAAAAGCAAAAATAGAGCCCAAGTATATATACTAGACTAGGTTTGGGAAGTCAGAGTTCCTGCCATACATCTTTTCTATTCCTGTTTATTTCCCCAGCTGTTCCGTGCACTTGTGGGCTACGATTGACACGAGTATGGAAGGAAACATGGAAGAAAGGGAAAGGCTAAGAAATTAGAACACTTTGGATGTTGATGTTAGTAATGTTAACTTGAGTACAGATGAAGAAACTATGTACACTGTACCTGCTTGAACTTTTGAAAATCATTGCAAATATTCTCTGACCTCTTTAGCATATTGTCACATAGACATAAACAGTTCATGCTAGGTTATCTGGTTTTGAATGTTACGAGTGAATTACTTAAGTGACAACTATAGTTTGTGAGTTAAATTCTTGCTGTCCAATAAAAAATAATGCAAACCACAACTGTGAGCTTCATATATGATTTTAACTTTCTAATACACATATTGGGAAAAGAAATAGGCAAAGTTAATTTTAACCGCTTATTTAACAGAATATATCCAAAATATTATCATGCCAACAAATAATATAGAAATTGAAATATTCTATATTCTTCTTTATATGTATTAATTCCCTGAAATTTGCTACATAATTCAAAAATCTCAAATTGCCACATTCAGCTAAGTAGCCACATATGGCTACTGGTTACCATATTGGACAATGTACATCTAAGTTGACTTTTTATGAACATTATTTTGCCAGAATAAAAAGCTGCAATTAACCATATACCTACTAATGTCTTTGTCAGTATCTAACAGTCTCATCCCTTCAAACAAAAGAAAAATTAGCATATCTTGTTTTATTTCTTTTTTGGGGGAGTATTCTCATAGAATGCTTTCAAATTAAAACTTTTGGATATCTCCCATCTCATATCTTATTTCAAACCTGGTCCCCACATGAAATGTTTAAATTTGAATATTTGTGAGGAGTGCATTATAACTTTTGTTATATTGTGGATAACTGAATAAGGATTGAGCTGAATTGCAGCTGACAAGTTGCCCTGTTTTATAGACATTTCATTAAACATATATTGATTTTGATTTTAGTTCTCTTGTTTTGGAAGCGTTATATATAATTTCTAGACTCCAACATGTTTGGCTCTTGAAGACCTTCCAATTTTAGTCTGTAGGCACTGAACCCCTTAAAGCCAAGTGCATAAAATCGTGCTGGCTCCAACCACATTTTTCCCATGCCTGCTCCCAGGATATATGTAGGATTGTTCCTGTCTGTTTTGTTCTCAGTGCAATTGTCATGTAAAGCTGGCTTTTGCTAACTTAAGTTCTGCCATCAGGATATTCCATCTGTTGTTTTTGTTTGTTTGTTTGTTTGTCCCCCTCGCCCCCAGCATTAGGTGAATTTGCTTTCATTTATTTGTTTTCTTTACATTTATTTTCTGTCTCTGATTTAAGAAAGACAAAGATTGTGTATGTTTTCTCATTTACTGTTCAATAAAAGATATTGTAGACTCTCGATAAACTTTAGATAAGTGAATGAAAAAAAGAAAAAGAAAAAAGAATAGTTGCTTGTTGTAAGGAAGAGTTCAAAGCTCCCTTAACCTAAACTCAGAAGAGAAGTTCTATCTGGTGGGGATCCAAGGTTGCTCCAACCTGTACACCTTATACAAAATAATGCTAGAGAGGCAATTCTTTTAAAGTTAAAGCTTATAAAGGCTTATAAAACCATTCTGACATTTTATCAATCATTTATAATTCAGCAATATCATTGACTTACAATTAGTAATTTATCTTGTCCTTCCTGGAAGGTCTGATTCTTTTCATTCTCCCACTTTAGAGATTACCTTTTGCTTTTTATTTTTTTTTTCTTATTCTCTAAATGTGTGGTTCTCAATCTTACCCTTTTTTGCTTCTTCCAGGAGATTTTAGTAATGTCTGAAGAAAAATTTCGTTGTCACAATTGGGAGTGGGGGGGAGGGGGCTCCTGTCATTTCCTCAGCAAAAGAAAGAAATGTGGCTAAAAGTCAAATGCACATAATAGCACATAATACCTCAAATGTCAAAGGGTGACATTGTGAAAACTTCCCCCACATTAAAAATAGTGATCTGTGTTTTATCCTTAAAATGATTATTGAATTTTAGAAATTGCTTCTGTTAGTGGTACACCCTTTGCTTCATTATACCTAAAGCTTTTTGAAGTTTGCAAACAACTTAGTTTATCCAAATTTGCAAGTTGAATAGCAGTGGCCATTTAGCAGTGTAATTCTTTTCCAGTCTATCCTCTCTGTTTATTTTTTAAGTTTATTTATTTTTGAGAGATACAGAGACTGTGTGAGCAAGGAAGTGTCAGAGAGAGAGAGAGACAGAGAGGCAGAAAGAGAGGTAGAGAGAGAGGTTCCATGCCATTAGCACAGCGTTCAATGCGGGGTTCAAAACTCACGAAACTGTGAGATCATGATCTGAGCCAAAACCAAGAGTCAGACACTCAACCGACTGAGCCACCCAGGTGCACTTCTATTTCTTTAAGTGTTGGCATACACGTTGGGGGTTTTGATGACTATCATCACATAATTCTGTCAACTTAATATATCTTTGTTAATCTGTTTTATAGGTCCCTTTAGATGGAATGTAATACAGCAGAAACCTTTTCATCAAAAGGATTAATGCCTGCATTATCATTTCTTCAATAAGTCAGAAAAGTTAAGTGGTGGAGGCCACAGACACCTCAAACCTGGATTCCACAATTCCACTTTAAGTGCTGGAGTTTTTATTACCCTGCTGTAGGAAAGCCTTTGCCAATGCTTACAAGGAACTGTTTATCCCTGCTTCTCTGGGTCCTGTTTGATGGAGGTCTCCTAACACCACTTCAACCACAGCCACAACAGACTTTAGTCACAGAACCAACAGAAAATGTTATCCACCTGCCAGGGCGGAGATCACATTTCCAGCGAGTTAAACGTGGCTGGGTATGGAATCAATTTTTTGTGCTGGAAGAATACATGGGCTCCGAACCTCAGTATGTGGGAAAGGTAATGGCGTGTTTCTTTTGACAACCACTTGATAGCAAGGGGTATTATGCATTGTGTATTGTGTATGGGTGTTTTGCACAGGAGCTGAACAAACCAGTGACTAGAACACTGGAATTGAAATCCAAGAATGCTGGTTTCTCTTCCTGACCCAGGGGCCGGGTAAGCTTTGGAATATCACTTAATCTCTTTTTACCTCAATCCTCCCTGGTCATTTGAATAAAATGAATATATATTTTGGTCCTATTTTAAAAATTCTGTTCCTATTTTTTAAATTTTGTTTTTATTTTTAACACTCTTTGCTTAAGACATAAAGTCAAAATAGTAAATGTCATTAAAAGTGTCATTATAGCACATTATTGCTGACAGACATTCTAGAATTGTCTACCAATAAGACACATAGAAAAAAAAAATCACCAGGCCTAAATATTCTAAACTGCGATTGGTATCCTTGAATGACCAGGATGTCAAAATATTTGGAATGTGGTTTTGAAGTACTTGACATAGTTTATTTATTATATGTTTTGGAAGCTATTTATGAAGCTATTTGTGACCAAAGTGATACATTTTGGAACCCAAATACATACACCTCAATCTTCAACGCAGCGTGTCAGTTTTCAACCTCATTGTAAGTTCATAGAGATTTATTTTTTTCACAAAATAGTTGATAGCACCTCTTTGTTTCATCACATTGATGCTTTTTTGCTGTTTTCCTTACATAACATTTTTAATCTAGGTCTACAGTAGATAAAAGCTATCAATGCTACCAAAAAAATCGTTTCCAAGAAATAGATATTTTATTTTATTTATGTTTTGTTAACTGTTTTTAAATGTTCTAAAGGATTTTGCCATAGTTTTATTTTTTTAATTTTTTAATGTTTATTTATTTTTGAGAGAGAGAGAGTGTGAGCAGGAGAGGGGCAGAGAGACAGGGAGACACAGAATCTGAAGCAGGCTCCAGGCTCTGACCTGTCAGCACAGAGCCTGACATGGGGCTTGAACTCACAGACTGTGAGATCATGACCTGAGCCAAAATCAGACGCTTAACCACCTGAGCCACCCAGGTGCCCCAACCATGGTTTTAATAAAAACATATATGCTTGAAAAGAGTTTAAAACAAATCCAAAGACAGAAATAGAAAACAATGGTAAGATTAGGTCCTATTGCACATTAAAGTCCTCAGGGCTTTCTAGAAGCCTAAACTAATGAGAAATATGATAAGTCTTATGATGCAATGTTAGGGTAAAGGAAGCAAATCCATTCTAGATTTAAATTATTTGCCCGGTACTTTTGGAATTTACCCTTTAGAAATGTATTTAAAGAATATTGAATAATACAGTGGAAAAGGTCTCCAAATAGAACCTTTGTTGAAAATGAACACATAGCTAGGGTTTCTCTGAGGTGTCTAGGGCCTCAGGCAAATATTTTCTGTGGGCTATCTCTATATGAAATTTGAGTCACACCAAATCTGTCTTTGAGTACCATTTTGGGAGTCCAATTTGTAGTGATTTTGTAAAAAAATATACAATGCCATTAGCAGAAGCAATCTCCTTGACAGCCACCTCCTAGGAATCGGGGCCTGGTCATGTAGCCCTGGGACAACTCCATAGGGCTCCACAGGTGGTCTGATGAATCCAAAATTCAGTAGAAAGAGAGGGGCTTCACAAGAAAGCCCCAGTTGTTGCAGTTCAGCCCATGACACCCCATCCAGATGGCACTGTTGCCCACAAATAGACCTGGGAAAAATAAAGGGTCTCAGAAAATCTTGAGGAAAGCATTCCAGCACACAGAAGGCCCCTGATGTTAGTGTACATTGGTTTTGCTCATATGACTCCTCTATATGATTGTGAAATATAATAATCATTATGGTGAGATAGCTTCATGTTGCTCTAGGACACTTGTTTCTTATCAGTTAATGTAATATAAAGATCAAGTTTTGAAATCTAAGACGAAGGGGCAGGTAGCATAGCTTTAAAACTGCCTCACATGTCTCTGTATTCTCAACTCGGCTTGTGACAGAAGCTAGATTTCACATTGAGGTTCCTGGCAAGTATCTAATGAGAAAGTCTTCTCTCTGGTTTTGATCAAAACAGATTCATAGCCTTTAGTCACCTGAATCTGAAGTGAGAGGATTGTTTGTTGAAAAATTAATGAAACTGGGTCGCCTGGGTGGCTCAGTCTGTTAAGCATTCAACTTCAGCTCAGGTCATGATCTCAGGGCTTGTGGGTTCAAGCCCCACGTCAGGCTCTGTGCTGACAGCTAGCTCGAGCCTGGAGCCTGTTTTAGATTCTGAATCTCCCTCTGTCTCTGACCCTCCCCTGCTCATAGTGTCTCTCTCTCTCTCTCAGAAATAAATAAAACACTAAAAATTTAAAAAAAAGAAAAATTAATGAAACTGACTCTACTCTGCCTTAAATAGAGCAGCATTTCACCTAGCAATTGTATTTCCAAGTTTGGTTTGATCCTCTGGAATCACACCTTTGTACTTGGTACTTGAGTATAGAATTCATGTAATTCATTTAAAAGATGAATTGGCCTTTATAATTAGATTTTTAAAGGAGTAGGTCTAAGATCTAACCTGCTATTAAATTAAAACAAGAGTATTTTCAGTCACATATTTGTAACATGTGATGAAAAGCTGTGCTTCTTCTGTAATGTACATTCCCAGCGCAGATGAAACAATAGTTGCTAAGGTTTCCTTTCCACATGGAAACTAATTACAGTTTAATTAACTCTGTCTTGATGAGTCTAGATGTGGGAATAGTAATATGATAACATCGGGACCAATTCAAGTCATTACGTGTATGTGTGTAAACATATATTAACGTATTTTTGCTTCGGCTCTTTTTGGAAAGGGCTTGAGACAGTTCACCGAAAAATAAAATATTATAAATAATATAGAATTCCTGGCTAAGGAAGAAGGCAAATGCACAAAGTGCCAAGCACAGTGGTCAACTGAACTACTGTAATTGAGCTTCAAATTTAACTATGATTTTTGCAACATTGGCCACTATGAGAGCATTAACTTTTACAGTTCTCATCATTGAAAGCTTCACTTGTTGAGAAGAAAAATCTATATCCCTAGCTTCAAATATAAAAGAGTTTATTCATGTGGAAATTTATAGTTAGGATCCTGAATGGTTTAGTGGACACTAGGCTCAACAGTTGTTATATTTAAAAGAAGCAGATGGTAATGTTGATATTCTTTCAAGAAAGACCAAAGTGTGACATTGCTTGTAATGAATACTTTTCATTTAAGGGTGAAATCACAAGGGTGTCCAGAGGTAAAACCAAGGTTTTCCTCAAATAGACATTTTGGATATACTACAATATTTGGATGAGTGTGAGATGCTATAGTGCAGAGTAACATAGAAATTAATTTGATCAGCAAAAAAATTTAATTCAGATGCTATCAATTGCTCAAAGTCTTGACCAAACAAAACAAAACAAAAACCTGTATTATTAAAGGCATGCACACACACAATGCGTGCACACACACACACACACGCACACACACACTCACAGAGTGAGCATGATGCTTGCACCTACATGTATAAATGAGTGCCTATTTCTTAATATAACTGAGTTATATTATAGCCTCAAAGCTACGTACCAAGAAAATGCTGCTCAATTATCCTCAAAGAATTATTTAGGAAATTGACTTGTCATTTCACATGATCTTTGTTAGCAGTGATTCTTAAATTTAAATTGTTTAAATGGGTAAAAATATTAAAATTGAAACAGATAAACTCTAAATTTAGAGGCATCTGTTTATTCAATATATTGTTTATTGAAAATGCATTACAGTTTGAAAAGTGTTAAGCCTTATAGAGATCAATTTAAATATGAAGGCCCTTAGATTACAATTATAATTGGTAAACTTTACTTAGTGCTACTTTGGGCACTGTTTTAATTTTTTTGCATATATAAATTTATGCAGTCTTCAAAATAGCACTTTGAAGAAGATTTCTAAATTCTTAAAGTTTATTTATTTTTGAGAGACAGAGAATGAGCAGGGAAGGGGCAGAGTAGAGGGAGACACAGAATCTGGAGACTTCAGGCTCTGAGCTGTCAGCACAGAGCCCAAGGTGGGGCTCAAACCCACAGGCCTGAGATCATGACCTGAGCTGAAGTTGGACGCTTAACTGACTGAGCCACCCAAGCTCCCCTGAAGAAGATTTCTAGTTGCCCCATTTTACATATCAGAAAACTGAGGCACAGAAAAGTCAGGTAACTTTCCCATGGCCCAACAGGCAGTAAATGTTGAAACTAAGATTTTAAGTCAGGCAGTTTAGCTCCATTGCGCCAGAAAATACCACAGCTGATTATCTTATAAGGATACAAGAGGTAACAATAATTTCAATACTCTGTTGAAAGTACTGTATTGAAAACCCTATTATGGATGGTGAAGAATAAAGCAAGTCTCTGAGTCTGTTTAGAAGACAAATGCATTTGAGAAAGCCTTCACAGATAATGGAGTATCTGAGATCTCTCTCTCTCTCTCTCTCTCTCTCTTTAAATGTTCATTATTTATTTTGAGAGACAGTGAGCAGAGGAGGTATAGACAGAGGGAGAGAGACAGAATCCCAGTTTCCGTGCTGTTAGTGTAGAGCCCACGTAAGGCTCAAACCCACAAACCCTGAGATCGTTACCTGAGCCAAAACCAAGAGTCAGACACTTAAACGACTGAACCACTGTGGAACCCTTGAGATGTGTTTTGAAGGATACCTCATTTTTTCAGAAGACAGAATCTGAGGGAAAGTTTTATAAGCACTGAGGCTTGAAAATCCAAAGCAAGGCTTAGATAACCATATTTCAGTATAATCAGAGAATGTGAAGCCAATTGTTGAGGGTAGGTAAATACAGAAAGTATCAGAGAGGCTCAATTCAGATACCAAGATCAATATTATTTTATCTATCTATCTATCATCTATCTATCTATCTAACTATCTACCATCCATCTATTTAAATTGAGGCATAGTTGCTGGCATATAACATTATA